GATAACACAATATGAAATCAGCTGTTTCTTAGATGTCGATATGCTTATATACTGTACCATAGCAAACTCCTCCATCATCAAGCTGGGAAGACGAGAAATTTGACAACACATTAGAGCAGAGTTACTCTCCTTTTAAGTACCTTTTAAGTTCTCTGAGTGCTCCCAGTCATTCTGATTTTTGTCTTGTCCCCAGGAAAGTACACATAATTTGAATTCAAATGCAGCAAATCCTTTTATCTAGTCAAAATCCTCTTTGATTCTGTTAGTAAGGCATTGGTATGATTTGAAAGAGAAAGATGTAAAAGATAAGATAGGGGATGATCACTTTTAAAGGTCTGTCATTTGGATTGAACTCAGGAGCGGCGCTGCCAGTGACAAGAGTTCAGTGCAAAGCTTCTATTGTGAACCTGATGTAAATCCTGTCTCTTACACAAGCTGAGATTGTTGTTGCACTCTACTGGTTATGTTTTAATGAGTAACAATTGTTAGCCAATTTGCATGTAAAACAATGTAATTATAAACAAGCATCAAAAAGCTGTAATACTTCTAAAAAATGTAAATTACTCTCCATTATAAAGCGCAACAAAACCTAAGCCATGCCTCCGAGCCAGAGCCTCTAGGTTTTGGATGCTCGCTTCCATTATTAATGCTATTCACAAGCCAAACTTTTTAGGTTGGTGCAGTTGGGCGCTTTAATCTATTTTTGCTGTAAATTAATGAATTTTTAAAGAGGACTAGTCCTTGCTGAATAGTGCTGGATTTGGGAATGTAGTTTTGAGTCGTGGTGACGCAGTGCTATAGCCCCCTTTACTGTGCAAAGCATGAGTTCACAAACAGCATCCCATCTCTCTCTTGGGACCGTTCGTTGGGGGAGTTATCCGAAATGCTGCACTCCTATGTTTTATTTATGACAAAATATGCCTTTTTAACTTTGGCGTTGTCAGAATCTGGAATTGTGATAGCTTCTTCCTAGTCGGCAGTGGTAAGTCTTCTGGGTCGCTAACTCCCTCTACCTTGGCAGATGTTTTCAGGTGTTATGTTCTGTGTGGGCTTAGTGAGTTAAATATTTTATTCTAACCCTTCAGGGATTCAGAGGAACCTACTGATTTTCTTATCTGCTTTCAATCAGATTTTCTTTCAGGCTCGAGAAAAAAATTGTGTGACTCAGTACATTCTGTTTAATTTTAGATGCCACTTGATTGACTTGGTTGACATGGGCCAGCCATCAGTTTTTCAGGAACCGGGGATAAAAGTGTTGTTCCGTCATGGATAATAATAAATAAATTATCATCCTCTCTCCTATCCCCCCCCATTTTCATTTTAAGCATTAGTTGCCTGACCACTCACTTTCAGGACTAAGGACACAAAATGTATCTCAGTTTGAAGCCGTGTATTACATCGATGCCTCTCCAGGTCTCCTTTGAGAATAAGTAGACAGTATCAAACGATAATTGCTTAACCCAGCTCCATTGAGAGATGAGCAAGCAGCCACCATAAGGGCAGCTGATTTGCCTTGATATCTTATAATTGAACCTTTTCAGGGCTATGTTTTCTGGCACTGAAGCAGAAAGTAATTAAGACGTTCAATACTGCTTTTTGGACCTTTTCCTCCTTCCTTTGAATGGCCCACACTCCTAGACATGACAGCGCTCAGTATGCCTACAGACTTTCTTTTGACACATTAGCCTTACCCTTGCCAAGGCAGTCCTTCCCAGAAACCCCCTCCGCTCGGCACGCTCCGGGTGGGTATTTTGTCATTACTTCATTTTCCTCAGAAAATATTTTGATGCCTCTTTCTTTTGGCTCCCCCCTCCCCCTTCTCTCACCCATCCCCCGTCACTCCATTCAAAGTTCTCTATTAAAATGCAGAACTGTAAAGCCTCTCTCAGTCTAAAAGCCTGCTAGCAGCGGGGGACTGTTAGCTGTTAGTGATGCATACAGCTGAGTGAGTGCATCACAGCTACAAAGTCTAATGGGTGAATACATTCAATCACACACAGACCCTCAACTCTTTTTAAAGGGACAATGTTCCCAGTCATGAAAGCTCCATCCACAGTGCTGAGAGGGATGTATTTAAATTCTTTGGAGGAGAAATATTTCTTGTTCATAAACGTCCAAAATCCTTGGTCTTCTTTTTATATAAGCGCTTGTAATCTTTTTCTGGAAGTGCCAGCTAATATCTCACGACTTTCAAGTTAGCAAAGTTAACTTTTTACATGCTTTTTACATCGGGTAAAAGGAGAAAATCCAAGATGCCAAATGTTCTCCTTTTTTGCCAGATTGTGAACCTCTTCTGATACCTAACGTTAGCCAAATGTCTGTCCATGAAAATGTATGTTCCCATGCACATTCATACTACAAGCGTTCAAACTATTTAATCAAACACCACTTTTTTTTGTATGATCAGCTGCCAGAATATCCCCACTTCGCTACCTTTATTTCCTATTCAGCTACATCTCTTTGAAATCTGTCTGGTTGGTAAGGTTTTTGATGTTTCCTCATCATCAGTGATACAGAGTTGAATCTTGGGGGCTTTTGGCTAGCATGTGCAGAACTTTTGTTGAATGAGCCCCCGATCATTGCATCACAATTTTGTTCTCTCCTGTCCTGCAACAAAGAGATCCTCTTTCAGGGACAATTTTCTGAACTGTATGTGGGGTTTTTTTTCCTCTAAACATGCAGTTAATCATATATTTATAAATAGAAACAGATTTAATTAGTTTTGTTAATGAGGTTCCATTTCAAATTTTTCCCATTTAGAGTTTTCTATTGTTGTCATAATAACATAATACCACTTAATTATAAAAGTATAGGGTTTAAATGGACACTTACATTTAATATGTTAGAAAATGACAAAGGCAGACACTTCTGATATGGATCTGAACCTTGGATGTAGAAGGTTTAATTTCTTCTCTCTGTGTAGGTTATATTGTACAAACTGCCGTTTCAGTGCACTCAGATAACCATGAACAATTACCTTAGATGAAAAAAAATTACCTTTTAACTAAGAATTCTGCACTCTTGGCAATCTGTGCAATACAATGCATTAGATGCATGAGATAAGCAGAGATATACTGTAAGCTGTCGTCTCTGCAGTGATCATTTTTCTCCCCTGATACCACGCCGGCCTCTGAGGCTGATGTGAAACACGGCAGGTATCAGAAACAAAAAGCACAGTGCTGAGGTTAGCCCAGTCACTGTGGGACCAGTTGACTGAGTCGACTAGGTAATTGGTTGCGTCTACCCGCCCAGCAGGGCCCCTCTCCCCAGAAGCCAAGTCATGCCCCTCCTCTTCTCTCTCCGCTCTCCTCTATTACTCATCATTCCAACGCCTCACCAGGCTAGCGGTGCGAAGCTACACCGTGCCGCCATGCAGCCAGCCCACGCTCCCAAACTTCTCAACAACAACAGCCACGGCAGCACAGCAGGTCAGGGCTTGTGGCAGGCTGATTTGCAGCTTGAGCCTCCTTTTAATGAGGGGAAAATAAGTACTTGTTGTTCTGTGTCTCGTGTGTCACCACCCCCATCCCCACCTACCCACCACCACTACAACTAGCAAGTCTACCTTCCCTTCAGCAAAAAAAAAAAAAAAAAAAAAAGGTTCACTAATTAAGATGGCTTCCTGGGATTTGGAAGAGGGTGGGGCGGGGGGTTGGCTATGGCTTCTCCCACAGTGGCAGAGCCTTGAGGAGGAGATGGGGGTGGTGTTGTGCAAGAGGTCTCATCGGGCATATCTCTTCTCTCTGTTCCTCTTTCCTTACCCTAGTCCCTCTAGCCTGGCTTGTTTGGCTTGAGTCTGCTGCTAAACATTTGTTTTTTTTCTACTTGCAATTAAGCAAGGTTTTTTTTTGCAGGAGCCGAGTATTTCCCTTCTTCTTCCTCATCTTGGCTCTCCAGGGGGATTGGAGGAAAAAGAGACATAGGGGTTTGTGTTCTTCCTGGTAGGAAGGCACATTGAAGTTCTCCCACCTTGATTATATACAGTGAGCATGAATGGAAAATGCGTGGGCCAATAGGCTCTTTGTTGTTCAAGGACATATGAAAGTTACTGTATGGATGGTAGATGAAGGCTTAGATGTAGATTTCTGTATCCTTAGGAGGCTGAATTCATCCAGCCATTGTTAACTATTCCCTGGCATTGGCCCACTCTGTATTTGTTTCCTTTGTAAAACTTATAGATTTATGTGCATTTATAGGAATGTAGGATTTTTATCTTCCAGAAGCATCAAGCACTAAACAACAATTTTCTTTGTTAAATCAGAGTGTGGTCTGAATGCAACATCTTCACTCCAGTGATGAGTAACAGTTACATGACATTCTCAGTCCAGTAGTGACAAATCTACGAATGTTCTGTGACTGACTGAAGTACAGAACAATTGGTGAGTAAGTTCTCTCACATGTACCAGATGATTGTCTTTGTTTTTTCTGAAATCGTGCTGCAAAAGCCCCCACTAACATAAAAAAGTTCCTGCACAGGACACATTTTTAAGTTCAGCACCGCTCTAAGAATAGCTACCAAATTAAAATATTAAGGCTTCTTTAGTTTTTTCATCGTTTGTGTCTGCCTGAGCGGGATCTGAGAAACTGGGGAAGTGGGGGGGAGCATGGACTTGACAGGAGAGTGAGGCACGTCGAGAGTCAGAGAATGGGAATACAGTGTGGGGGGGTTACACAGAGAGGGAAAGGGGACGAGCCTTTCGGCTCCTCTAGAGGGTTGGAATTCCTCCCGAGCTGTTCCCCCCATTTGGCAGGCACTTGTGAAAACAATTCCCCAGCTTTTAGTCACTCTGCAGATCCAATTGCCATTTCCACTTTGGAGGGAACGAGAGTGAGAGGCAATCCAGATAGACAGAACACAGAGAGAGAAAGAGAGAAGAGTTTTAATCGGGTTGGACAGATGCCGAGGCCAGTTGAGCGGTTGTGCGATATTAATATCTTATGAAGGCTGTCTGGCAGAGCAAGCTCACCGTCTTGTGTGGTTTTGTGTTTGTGCGTTGCAGCAGCGGCCATTGCAGAGGCTAAATGAAGAACTTGTGAACATGCACGAGGGAAGGACTCTACCTTTCACTTCGGTGACTTCCCCAGATGCTCTGGCCCAAAGAAAGATGGAAAGGAATGGGAAGAGTAAGACACTTAACTCATACCTAGTCCCCCATACTGCTTTGCTTTTCACTGTGTAATTAATGGAATACAACTGTTTAATTAAAGTTAGCTCACATTGCAGACCATACTTACGTGCAGTGTTAAAGACCAAGTGATGAACATGCCAAAATATTTAGTTTTCCATTATACAAAGCTACACTGTATGTGGAAAATAATGTGCAAGTTAACATGTGTGTATCTCTGCCAAGTGTGCTTTCTGCTCTAGCTAAAGGAGATGAATAGGCGTAGTAAACAAACCTCCTGCTCTTCCAGACTTGAGCCAAGGCTGCTGCACAGCACCCGATCAGTGAGCCAACAGGAGATCCTCCATACGCCACGTCGCTGAGCCTCTCACCCTTCCCTTTCGACCCCTCGACCTACAAGCGCCATGACCTCTGAGCTGGAGAGTAGCCTGACTTCAATGGACTGGCTCCCCCAGCTCAGCATGAGGGCAGCCATCCAGAAGGCGGATGCGGGACACCACCACGCCCACCACCATGGACACCACCACCACGGTCACCACCACGGGCATGGGCCTGGCAAGAAAATCACCAATCTGGACCCAGGAACAACGCTGGACCAGGAGGAAGCTGCACAGCACAGAGACGGTAAACCGCCCTACAGCTACGCCAGCCTCATCACCTTTGCTATCAACGGATCGCCGCGCAAACGGATGACCCTCAGTGAGATCTACCAGTGGATCTGTGACAACTTCCCGTACTACAGAGAGGCGGGCAGCGGCTGGAAGGTAAGACAAAAGATAAAATATTTAATATGTATAAGAGTCTTGCTCTTTAGGGTTAAGCTCCTATAGCTGGTTTCACTTTGGGTCTGGTTCTAGGATGATGAAATACAGGTATTTGTTAAGTTGTTAAGGCTAAAAAATCTTAGCATACCGACTAGCTTTTAGTCTCTCCTTACTTTCGTTACAGATATCAGCGACTGCAATTACAAATTGTATCAGCTGTAGAATCAGCTAAAGAATCAGAAGTGGGAATTAGAGGTCTTCATGGGTCCACTCCGTTCCGAAACTAGACCCAAAACCTGAGTTGAACTTACTGAAAGTATATTTCAATTCAATTCAATTAAATTTTATTTGTATAGCGCCAATTCATAACAGAAGTTATCTCAGGACACTTTTCAAATAGAGCAGGTCTAGACCGAACTCTTTAAAACATTATTATTCAGTCTGATCAGGTGTGGTAGGGTCTTGTTTCACTGCTGCAGATCTCGGCTCCGTGCGTGAACATGTGTAATATTCTAGTGGATGCAAATGGATCTGTGTGCACTCCAGCTCTTGTCACGTGGTTCCTCATAATCACTGTGGGAGAAAATATTTTAGGAAGTCAGGAGCTTATAGAAGACATTTATGCTATTAAATGACAATTAGTTTTTTGGAATTTGTTTCACAGATATATCGTTTTATGAAGCCTATTAAAGAAATCGGATTCAACCAGCGGATTTGATACTGGATTCAAATTTTTGCTAACAAAACCTCGAGTCTTTCACTAGTGTTCAAAATGCACAGATCTGATCCAGTGGTTGCCTTGAAGAGCGCAGAAACCTTTTAGTGAACCAGGCATGATTGACGGATGCATTTGGTCTCATTCAGACGACGTTATTAAATCCTTATGTAAATGTAGCTATGCAAATCCTGGCTAATGTGAGCAGAAAGGTGGCTGTGTTATTGGAGACGAATGAATAGATCCCTATGGTTGTGTCTTGGGGATTCTCTACCTTATTAGTGAAGAAGGGGATGGATATAGTCCTTCCACTGACACATCGAAAAGGCAGTCTGCAAACTATCAACCAATTCATCTCTCTGAGAGTGGAAACATTTTTCTTCTTCTCTCATTATTTCTCTCTTTCACTTTCTATCTTCATCTCCCAAGTACTTGCACTTCACCAAGCGCCCCTCCTCCTCTCTCCTTCCCTCTCTTAGTCACTCACTCCTCTCCTTTCTTCTTCTTTCCCTTTCACAAACCTGTGTTTGTTCCCCGTCTATAATCTTCAACACGCCATTCCCCGAGCAGAGATGCATGCCAGAAACGGAGACAAAAAGGTTATGATACAAGCCAGGTTGTGTTGGCAGAGCTTCTTACCTGCATGTAGGATTCAATCAATTCGTTTTCTGTTCGGAGAGAGAAGATAGGGGTTATTAAGACCATTCAGCCTTTCTCTTGCTGCAGCTCATGACTGCCTTCTCCTGCTGGTTGTATTTGGGTGCCAGGATGTTTTAGTATCCCATAATTACACCTCTAGATTCATTGATTTGTGTGTGTGGCTGCATTCTAGTAGCATCATTAACGCACAGTACTGATGGCATTGTGGGTATATTTTCACATGTTCGGGCATTTGACCATAATACGAAGGCGGAGAGTTTGCCGTGAGATATCTATCCCAAACTTGTGCCGCTTTCCACTGAGGCCGGGGCCAAATAAACAATTCCCAATAGTGTTCATATATGTCAGTGTAGGAATATTTGACAGAATATGCTTTTTAAAGCACAGCACTTAAAAATCCCGTTGGTGCCTTCTGTTTTTGCCATCTATGGAGATTATTGCCAATAAATAGACAATCTGTGGTGAAAGAAATGTTCTCACGACCACTGATCTGTGCTTGAACTGACATTTTAGAGGCACGTAAAGTAACAAATTAGGCACTCTGCAGTGCTTTCAGGTAAAGTGCAACTAACATTCCTGCGTCTTTTGAGAAAGGGCTGTAAACTTTTGCTTCCTGGATGACCCGACTCAACACAGTGGGGCTTGTTTTATACCAGCCATGGCCGTCACAGGGAAAGTTACATAAGTCTGGTTCATTCCAGTTCAGGTGATTGCTGTCAGCTGTACACAGTGGGACACAGACACAGAGATTGTCTGGCTGCCACGTTTGGCAGACATCGTCGACTCACACACACACACACACACACACACACTTTGAAATGTGCGTTTTCTGAATGTACCGACTAAAGGCAAACGCTTGAGCTTTCAGAAAACACCTCGTACACGGTCCGTTGTGCTCACCGTCTCCTTCACCCTCCGCCACACATGCGTGTACACACACAAGCTCGTACACCCACAGAGAGACTCCCACTCAGGTAGGCAGTGTACGTGTGCAGTCTACAGATTACACACGGGGAGCTCAGCAGGAGAGGAGAGGAGATGGGGGGGGGGGTGAAGAGAGAGGAGACTGTCAGAGAGCAGAGGAGAGTTTTACTACCCAGCACACGCACTCCGTCTGCTCTGTATGATAATGTGAGAGTGCAGGAACGGCAGAGTTGAAACCAGGACAACACACAGTCATACACACACACACACACACACACACACCCCTCAGCTTCCATCCTTAGATATCACACAAATACATACACTGGTTGAACACCACAGGCTTACTGCATGTGTTGCAGCTGCACACACACACACGCATGCACACACACTTTTGCTAATCTAGTTAGCCGTTATAATCATGTAGTTTTCCAAGGTTGTGAGATTTTTGCGTCTTTGCTGAAAATGAATATGGAGCGCTCTTTTCATCTGAGAAGTAATGAGGAAAACCTTCCTCTGGAGCTGTGGAGGAGGTTTTCGAATCTGAAAAAATTGAATATATATATCATGAAATTAAATAGCACACGCACGCATAAGCCATTTGTTTATAGAGCTCGTTGACGTTCCTAAATTCATCTTGTGTAACGTGCATGCATAGCATTTCCGTTTTTAAAACAGGAATAAACTGGAGTATACAGGAGGGGAATGCAAACAGTGTTGCATCGGGCTGCGTCATTTTTTTTGTATCACTGGAATGGCATTATCTCCCCTATGTTATCTTTACCAACCTCTCCCTCTCTCTCTCTGTGTCCTACGCGGTGCCCCGCTCTACTTTCCCATGCCCTCCACAGCCCCCTCGCAGCCCCTTCACACCCACATGTCCCTCCTCTCCCCACCTTTACCACAACTCATAGTGAGTATGCGGTGGGGGAGACCAAACCCACATGGGGGTTTCTCTTCTTTGCTTCCTGTCTTTGTCTCTTATTTGTCAGTTACTGTGTAACAGTGTATCATCACATCCGTTTTTGGTTCTTTGAGAACTTTTTTTTTATCCCAATCAAAATTTTAAACTCTTAAAACTGACCTACACCACATGCAGCTATTTTTTGTTTAGTGTTTTTTTCCTTTTATGTTGTGTTTTAATATTTCATAGTGCACCCTCTTTATTTGTTCTGCTGTAGGTTGTTATTGTGCTAATTTTGTCTTAGTGAAATAATGTTTTCAACCTTGGTGTCTAATAAAATGATTTTCTATTCCACTTCCAGTTTTATTCTATTAAGTCTTGAAATGATTAGTCGATTTACAGAACAATTTTGGTAATGGATTAATCATTTAAGTCATTTATCAAGCAAAATATTAACTAGTTCCAGCTCCTCACATGTGCGATTTATTTTATACCATTGTAGTATATTTGGGTTTTGGACTGCAGGTCGGACAAAAGGAATTAAAAGACGTCACATTTGACGCTGGAAACTGATGATGATGGGTATCTTTTACTATTTTTTTACATTTTAAAATGATGAATATATTATGTATAGATTAATCTGTATTCTATGCTGCTCCATTCTATTCAGGCTGAAGATAATGGTGGGAAATGTTGCTTATTCAAAGCTCACCTCACCATAATATTATTGAAATGTGCAGGCCTTCCCATTATTTACCACCTGAAAATGTGGTCTAGACCTGTACCTTCACCAAATGGCTTGTTTCAGTCTGTGCTGCTGACTAACCTGCTCTCTTTCGACCCCCGTCGCCTCAGGCTAGCTCCCATGCAGCCAGGCTAATTGCCTGCGAATTAGCAAGGCCTAATGTGACGTTGTAAAGGGCAGCGCTACTGCGATGGCCTTTGGCCTTTGGCTGAACACCACATGTCACAGACAATCACCTGATATGAATCAGCGCTGGGCCATTATTCTGGCTCCAATCCTCCCCTGCCTGCTCTGCGGGAGATCTGCGACTGAGCGCAGTGGAGGTCGTCGCAGTGTGTCAAGTGTACTTACATATGTGGAGGGAGGCTGTTGTCATTGGCTGCTGGGAGTCATTGTGTGGCGGTAGCTGCACTGAGGCTCCTAAGCTTATGTCTTATGAGCACAACTGAAATTTCACCACGGTACTGTGCTTGTTGTGATTCAGCGTTGAGACAATCTGTGGAAGATCTGTGGAAAACACAGTGTGCAGATTCTGTATATCTACCATATGCAGTGCTTGTATATATGTGTATGGCTCTGTGTACATGGTGATGTTTTTATGTGTGTACAGCTGCTTACTGTGTGTGTGTGTGTGTGTGTGTGTGTGTGTGTGTGTGTGTGTGTGTGTGCTTTTGTCTTTATTTTCCAGAGTCATTTTAAAAGAGTCTGAAAGTGGCGACTGAGAGAATGTCACAGCTGTCTGTTTTATCGACTCTCACCTCTGACTCTGTGTTGATCCCCTTGTCACTAAGTAACACATACAAAACTGTTACATGTAGCCCAGCATTCCCAGTTTACACATCATGTTAGACCAGTCTGCTGTCCAGGTGCGTGTGTGTGTGTGTGTGTGTGTGTGTGTGTGTGTGTGTGTGTGTGTGTGTGTGTGTGTGTGTGTTGTGTGTGTGTGTGTGAACGTCTCAAGGTCAAAGTCTCCCCCTTAACATTGTCTTTTTTTCCCCCAATTTTGATATACAATGTAGATTCCTTTCTAATTCAAAGCAAGCTTTGACTCTAAA